GCGGTTTTGTTTTTTGTTTCTTTTCTCTTCGGAAGGAAAGAGAAGAAAGAAAACAGAGAAGCCTAGGGAGGGATGGGAGGACGGCACGCCGCCACCACACAGGGATTTTAAGGAGAGGTGTGTGGTGCGCTAGCCGTCGCCCACCCTAGGGAGTCTGCCTCTTCCTATCTCTCTTCGCAGTCTCTCGCCGCTTCTCGCTGCAACCTTCATGCCACCTCGCGGTCGCCCCACTCTCGTCGTTCTCTCCCTTGTCATTTCCTCCTCTGTCGCGTCGTTCTCTTCTGCCTCGTCCTGTGACGCCGCCGCCTGCCGGTCCCTTTCTCTTCGGCCCCCGAATCCCAGTGCCCCAGCTCGAGGGGGAGGCGGACCTCCCAACCGCTGGCGACAGCCCACGATGCGACCCAGTCGGCGACGACGAGGACGAGATGAGCATTTGCGACGCCGTCGACGAGGCGGAGGCGGGGTCCAACACGATCAGCCCGGCGGCACGAGGGGAGGCGCTCGACGACGAGGCGCCAGCCGCGACGGCGGCAGGAGGCGAGGCGAGCAGCAGTGCTCCAGGAGGCGAGACGGTCCTCGGGCGGCGCGAGCGAGGGGAGGCGCTCGACGACGAGGCGCCGACCGTGATGGCGGAAGGCGACGAGGCGAGCAGCGGTGCCCCACCAACGAAGCGACCGCGCGGGAAGAAGACCAGGGGCGGCAGGAAAGCAAAGATGGGGGCGCACCAAATCAGTGACGAGCGTGACAGAGAGAGTGAGGGTGTCTAGTCGAGCGTCTTGTGTCGTGGAGGGGTCGAAGTCGAGGCGCATACGCGCCCGACGGAGACTCCTCAGGTGCCTGCGCACCAACCACCCCCCGGTGTTTTGACACCATTATTCGGTATATTAACCTCGCGGCCGCCTAGATAGACTGAAAGAGCTAGACACCGCAGGAGGCGAGGCTGCGGCTGCTGCTGCTGCTGCTGCTTTGCTGCTGTTGCGGCTGCGGCTGGCCTGCGGCTGCCGCTGCTGCTATTGACGCTAGATACGAACCCCACCCTGCCCCGCCGCCCGCCCACCCGCCCGCCCGCCCGACCGCCTGCCGCCTGTCCGTCCGCCCGCCCGCCCGCCCCGCCCGCCCCGCCGCCCTGCCCACCCACCCAACCGCCCATACCTGTCACCACGCAGCCTCGTGACCTCCATATAGGCGCTCGATACCCCCTCTCGCTGCCTACTCGCTGCCTCTGGGGAGGAGGGGATTACGTAGGGCGCGCGCCACTGCGCTCGCCTTTCCCGAGGCCCCTCCCCGAAAGGCAAGTATTAGCCGCACGAAACCGAGACCCCTCCCCCCCGCCCCGATCCCCCCACCCCCTTGCTCCACTCCCCCCCTCGGGAGGGCCGAAGAGAGGCGCCCGTGGGGACCCCGCAATTCCCTTCCCCCCTCGGAGGGCCGGACTGAGGCGTACCCCGAGGGCCCCGCTCTGTCCCTCGCATAGCGGCCACTCTTCGGATCGCTGGTCGAGCGACCCGGGGGATGCCCCGCGCGCCTGACCCAGGGGCGCGAAAACGAATCTGCGAGGCGCGGCCGCTTATGCGGCCCGATGGGGAGGAGTGGGGCGGACTACGGGGGTCGGCTTCTTGGTTTGATTCAAGTTGAAA